AGCAGTGGACGTTGTATCCCACCACCCACTCTGGCACTGTTCTTCTGAAACATTTAAACAGCGAATGCAATGAGCTCGTCATTATGTCTTATACCATTAATGAAGCGAGAACAATGCTTTTTGGAAAGCTTAAGATACAGGTGTAGTGATGAAGCCAGCTAATTGCAAAAGAGTTCTTGAAGTTATGGCATCGTTTTCCTTAGACCTGGTGAGTTTGTCTATTGTAACAGTTGTTACCTACATGAAAATGTATTGTTTTCGGCCTGTCTGTGTGACTGTCTGGGAGTGTGTGTGTGTGTGTGTGTGTGTGTGTGTGTGTGTGTCTGTGTGTGTGTGTGTGTGTGTGTGTGTTTGTGTGTGTGTGTGTGTGTGTGTGTGTGTGTGTGTGTGATGAATGCCCCTACCTTTATTTGGCATGCGCTGTCTGGATGTTTGAGGCCGTACAGGTGGTCTGGTTGGGCCAACTGCCAGACTAGGCGTACCCATGATTCCTTTTTCTCCCGGAGGTCCAGGAGGCCCGACAGTCACAGGGCCAGCCAGCCCAACGGCTCCCCTTTCTTCTGGAGGGCCAGCCGGCCCAATGGCTCCCCATTCTGCTGGAGGGCCAGCCGGCCCAATGGCTCCCCATTCTGCTGGAGGGCCAGCCGGCCCAATGGCTCCCCATTCTGCTGGAGGGCCAGCCGGCCCAATGGCTCCCCTTTCTTCTGGAGGACAAGCCGGCCCAATGGCTCCCCTTTCTGCTGGAGGACCAGCCGGCCCAATGGCTCCCCTTTCAAGTGCTGGAGGGCCGGAAAGTGTGGTGAACAGTTTGGAGATTTTGTCCAGGTCGCTTCGCAACGCATCAACATTGATAGATACCTGTTTTCTTTCCTATAAAAAGACACACCAAGGAAGGCAATGAAAATCAACACCATGGTGACGATTGAAAGAAAAGATCGGGGTAGATCTACGAGTGGGGGAGGGCTACGAGAGGGGAGGGGAAGTTCGGCTAGGGCTACGAGCGGGGAGGGGGAAGATCGTGGCAATAAACATTCATTCATGTATATAAACAAAAGTCCCAACAGTTTGCACTTTCACAACTACACTTTGGGGATACAACCTCAGATGACAACAAGATCTCAGTAAACACAGAGTATGTGCATTTTTTGCCAGCAATATTTCATTATTTCATGAAACTATTATTTGTCGCAAAAGGTACTAAATTTGAGGCACGCTTTTACCTCTAGCACTAGTCCCACAGCGATCAGACTCAGTAGCACGGCAATACCGGCGGTCAGACAGCTGCGATGGGAGCGGATGAAGCTACAGGGAGTACGGTGGTCGCTCGCTCCATCCGGATACGCGGTGCGCTCTTTGGAAAAGAGAATTTTTTTGTTGTTGTTTTTACCTCCATGAAAAATGGAGGTCTTGTGTTTAGTGTGTCTGTCTGTGTGTCTGTTTGTGTGTGTGTGTGCTTCCGCAACTTTGTGTTCAGCATAACTTCAGAACACCTTTATGGATTGTGATGATATTTGGTATGTTGGTAGGTCATATGAAGACAAAGGTCAAATATGGGCCTCCTGGTGGCTGACCTTGGTACTGCAGCAAAACTTCCGTGTTTTGTATCTTTTGTCCTGAACATGCTGTGGTTTTTTGGTGGCTGGTAGATTTTCATGTCAGGAACAAGTGGTGTAAGTTTGGTCTCCCTAGCAGCTTGTTCTGGAACTACAGGGGAGTTTCCTGCGAAATCTTTTAAAGCGGATACATCCAGAAAGAAACGACGAATTTTCATGATTTTTGGCATGAATGTATACATTTGACGGAGATGTACACAATAAAATGCAAGTTATGTAAAGGAGGCCTTGCTGTACATAATAGTACTTTGATACATGCAATGTCTGTAATCTACGGCAAAAAGGAACATGAACAGATACTGGTTATGCAAATTAGGACCTAATTTGCATAATCACTTTGAAAATACTACGATTCCTCAGTTGTATCGTACGTACCGTACGTAGAATAGATCATTACATTTCCAAGATCAATGAGACAAATAACACCAAAAAAATAGAAAGGCTCAAAATATTTTCATGTAGGTACGAAATCTCCGAATTCTTGTTTTCCTTGTATTCCGCCATGTATTTTGTGGCACAACGGACCACAGAAAAACTTTTAAAAGCACTGGTATTGGTGCGCCCCCTTCGTAAAACTTCGAACCAGTAGACAGTGCTAAATTTTGTAGTAATGAATCTGTATGCTTGAAACACAGGAACTTCAGGAAGCAGCGAAAGCACCAAGAGCGGGGATCGGAAAAAAATGGCGGCGGCCAATGTGTCGACGCTAGGTGCTAGCCGCAACTTCAAACGGCCGGCAGCGCTCTAAACAAAATGGACTAGCGAGTAGGAAATCATACCATGCATGAAATGATGACAGGTTTTATTGTTCCCCTTTAAAGAACACCTGGGTGACCCCTTAAACAGTAATTGCTGATTCCCAAGAGGACCCACAGAAACATAACATGATACAATTAAAATTATACAAATATCATAACATAGTGAAATGAAAACTGAAATCAGTATACTAAGTAGATTAAAATTAAACTCAAATAGATAATGAAACATATATAAAGCCTAGGTCACAGTTCAAGAAAGGGGCCCGCTCTGCGCGTTTTCGGTCTGTTTTTAGCACTACCTAACGGAACCTGGACGGAGACTGGTGGGGTTCCCGACGGCAGCCGGCCTTCGGGAACGGCCGGCATCTACACCGAGAACATGCTGAGCAGGCCCCGTTTCAAATGTGACTCCAGCTTTAGTGACTGAACAGATCAAATGAGACTTACAAAACCAAAGTGTCAAAACAAATTCATAATCCATGCGCATTTTAACAATACCATTAGAATATTTTCCAACTGTACAAAGGGCAAGTCATATAATATATAATGTTGAGGGTACCTGTGGATGTTTTGCTCACTCTCACTCTCTCGGCTTCTTTGTACGTGTTTAAATCTCCATCCTTTACTGTAACACGCACTCTCTCAGCTTCTTCGTACGTGTCTGAAGAAGTGCCCTGACTTTCCAGCCGCATGTCAGAAGCGCCGGTCCGCAGGTGGACAGCGGGAGATCGCGGCTGGGCAGCGGGAGATGGGGGCAGCTGCTGCCCGCTGGTTTTGCCGCTGTCGGGCCCGGAGAGAGGGGCTCGGACAGGCCTTGCTTGCTTGCGCATTTTGCCGTACTGTGCAAACACCAGTCAAACAATTTTCTGCATGAATATAACTATTAATAACATGATAAGTCTGCTGCGGTAACGACTTTTATCTTCTCATGTGAATATTCTACAGCATCACGGGATTACGCGTCGAATTGAATGTTGTTTTTCTGCACATGCGAGACTAATCTTCGGTGTAAAACTCTCATTTCAAGATTACGGTACACACATCAAAGTACTTATCGTTTCAAAAGAAATGTCAGAAGGCGTACATGTAATTTGATTGTTCGGTTTGTCGTGCGTTGGTTAAGCTGGCGTCACAAAGTCGACGAGCTTCGGTCTTATTTTTTAATCGTCAAATAGTCGCCTGACTTTTAAATCGAAAGAGAGGTGTCGCAAAAAATATATCAGTACACAAAATGCCTTTTTTGCGCATTCCAATTAACTGACCCCTCCCCTATATTTTCTTCCCGCTGTTGGCCATAACGGTCTATGGCTGACCGTCGGCACCAGTTTGATTTCATGGTATGCTCAGTCAGCCGGCTTGTTGATGCATCCAGGGCAGCAAAACTGGAAATATATTCTGAAGAAGGCAATCTTTGTGATATTGACACATACTGCTTCACATTATAATTAGCACACTTGAGTCAGTATTTCATACTTTGCCTTTGGGCTTTTAAAGCTGCAGAAACAAGCCCCAAGATGAGTCCTTTATTTTCTGGGTGGTACCCTAAAAATCAGCCCAGGGCCTTTCCAGTAACCATTTCCCGTCAGAAATTTGGGGGGTTTTGCTCCATGAGGGTCAATGTACATTGCGATAGTGTGGGAGACTGTCTTGTCTACCGCAGCGTCCTTTCTATCCCTACAATTATGACGTAATACAAGGTCAAAAGCAAATCTTTGATTGGGTAGAACGCCCTTGCATTGTTTTGTTGTTAAGTTCTAGAACGGCATTCATGCGCGGCTAGATTTGTATTGCGACCAGCAACACTTCGTAAACGGTCGTACTGAACTAACTTTCCCAAGTAAATATACCTGTATCACCACGAACTGTTACGTAAGGATGGACACGGTGGTAGACCGCACGTTTTCGGCCGTATTCACGGTACTGGAAACTTTGTCTCTGGTGAGACTAGGAGGGAAGGGAGACGGCAAACCGAAGCTAAACGTGACCGTTCATTCCGCGAAACACGTCCCCAGTCACGGAAAAGTGTTCGTCAGCATGAAACACGGCGAGGAAAAGTGGAGAACCCGGACCAAGAAATCAGGGAACCACGTCTGGGACGAGACGGCGGAATTCTCTCCAGCTAGCCCGACAGAAAACGACGACGTCGTTCTTCTGAAAATAAAGAAAGTTCGGCGGTGCAGGGAGAAGACGCTGGGAACTGTTCGTGTCGACGTTCCCCAGGCACTCTGGACTAACGGACACCTGCCAGCGAAGAGATGGTACGGAGTGGAGGTGGAGAAAAACACAGGATTCCAGGAGAAACCATTTCTTCAGGTGTCTGTGACACTCGACAATGAACCCACAAAGCACGGTGAGAAAGATATCTGCTTCTCGTTCGTTTCTCTACGTATTTCTTTGTATACGAGTGTTTAAATATGTGTAACACAACAGTCAGGGGCTATCTGGCCCCCTCTCTCGGAGATTCAAGTAATGCTAATGGGGTCCGTCAATCTATGTATCTGACATCATTGCCACTGAAGAACAATGAAGAAATTTTCAAATAATTTTTACTATCAAACATGACGTATGTGTGAATTTGACCTACAAAACAAATTTTTACTTGCGTTCATTTTTGGTGTTGGGCAGTCCTTGTATACTAAACGTTCACAAATGATTCGTTGCAGACCAAACCGAGTCCTTGAGACCGGAAGCGTCGACTGCGCCAGCGAAGGCTCAAGAATCCACGGATGACTACAAGAAGCGCGAAGCCGCTCTGATTGAGGTGTTCAGTGCGATTGAGCGGGAAGCATCCGGCCGCAACAACAACACGAAACGGTCGTCAGCAGAATCGGGTTCTTTCGAAGCATCGAATCGTACAACAGACGCGACCGCCTCCAAGGAAAATGGCGAGCGTCCGAGCTTCTCAACACGCTGTCGTCAGCTGCTTCAAAACGTGATCAAAAAGAGGAAACCACAAAGCAAGAAGAATGAGGCACCATCAGTGTCCAAAGAGTCGGGAAACAGCCATCCAACAGATGACTCGACTCTTCTTCAGCCTGAAGACGACGTCTCGGCCGCGGGCGAGCCAAATTACCGCGACGTTGTCATGTCGAGTATCGACGCACTGTGGGATGACCTGTTGGCGAAGAAATCGTACATTTTGGAGATCCTCTCGTACACAGACTCTCTCCGGGCAAAGCTGGCCAGTGTGGCTCCCTACGTCATGGACTACATCAGGGGTCTGGCCGAGAAAGTGCCGGAGACCGTGTCTTACGACCTCCCCGACAGAGTTGGTAAAAGTCTGGAGGAACTGAAAGAAATCGAGAAGACGCTGATGGTTCTGGTGGAGCGAGAAGACAAGCGGTCCGTGTTCGTGAAGACGCGATATTTAGAGGAGATCTCGAGGATCGCCATAGAAGAAGCTCCACAGGTGCTGGAGGCTGGACCATGATTCTCACCGACAAAAACACTATTCATTGTATTGACTGTAATTCTTGCAAAAACCACAAGGGGTCACTCATGATAAAAGGGGGTTGGAAGCCATGCCACATGATCAAGAGCCCGACACCACCCTTCACTGGACGTTTCGTCCTTTTTGGTTTACCCTCTCTATTGCAGTCAGTATTTCGTTTTAAAATTTCAAAGTTCTTTAATCAGTACACCGTATGTTTGATCAGCAGTTCCCAATCATTTTTCTAGAAAAGTGTGTAGTTTTTCCGTGTATGTGCGGCCGTTCTGTTGTGTAGCTTTCTTTATAACTCCATGCGCGTACTACGGAACACAAAGGGACTGAAGAAATGTTATAACATATTGATCACAATAAGGTTTGATGAATTTCGTCAGGATTTGTTTTTGATGCACGTTCTCTGAACACTTAATTGCCTGTTGGCGAAAGTTTATGCAAAGTTCCCACAAGTTCATAATCAACTTGGTTTTCCTATAGAAAAGTTTGTAGTTTTGCGCAGTTGCCTAATCTTCAAGGAGAAGGGTTTTAGAATGGTAACTGTCTGACCATTGGATACAACCTGGCCAATGGCTACAGTCTGGCAAATTGATACTGTGTTTGCAGCCACCATATTAAAGATCTGCTTCAAGTTAGAAGTTTCCTACATGTAACAAAGTTACAAAATGAAATTCCTGAAGACAATAAAAAGTTCGAGTTCTGAAATTTGTCTGACGTACTATTTTTGTTTCCTTTACAAGGGAAACGTATAAAAATAATTTAGACGATATCTAGTGGAACATGCAAAACTGCAAGGGACATACACATGAAAATACACCTTATTCTTAATAGGTTGAGATGAGAGCGTATAGGGGACTCAAATGTATTGTGGCGAACAAACGAATGATGCAAATACCAGTACTGAGGCCACTACTAATTTTCAGCGCACAGAGAAGTCAGGAAACAAAAACCAACTTGTTGAAACTACTAAGACAATATCTGATGCACAGAACGATACTTTCGATATACAATGTACTTTCGATATATATGTATTGTTGTCGGTCCAAGTATCTGACTTGGATACTTAATTCTAAAAGCGAGACCAAATCACCCATGTATGACTATATGGTAATCTCCATGCATGCAGAAGTTTGGGCTTTATTTGGCTTATTTTTTGGTGTGCTCTTTTATCGGGCTTTCTTTTTTTGTACAGGTATCTTTTCCGTGTGAGCACAAAGCCTAAAAACACACGCCAAAAATAAGCGAAAGCCCAAAACCTCTGCTTGGAGAGCAAGTTGAAAGTTCACCAAAGTTATCTGCTGCGCAGAGCTTGCTGGGAAAATTTTCCGAGTGCGCCATTTCTTTTCTCGTCCGAACCAAGATGGCGGCGGTCGCTATGAGGTGCGCGAGGGGCCTGGCCTTTCGAGCCACAAAACTCGTCACTCCGACACAGAGAACCACCTACTACGGTGCCCAGACATTTAGAAGGTTCAGCAGAACAGTCACGGCCTTCGAACCAGGTGAGACACGGCCCTGTGTGGCTGAAGAAGCGAGGAAAGTTGTTGTTTGTGGGGGAGGGGAGGTCACTTTAGGTAGGGCATCGGTCATGAGGGCCGTAGTACACTCTGGTCACGTCTGGCGCCGTATAATTTGTGCTGAGTATGCTTGAAGTGTTGACTTTGCAATTGGGCCATTTAGCTTGAGGATTGGGCACTGTTTTTAATTGTACACGGGACCTTGTATATGTGGTATCACCCCCTTTTTCAACTACGGAAAATTCCATGTGATTATGTGTTGTCTATCAAGCCAGTACCTTTTGTGTTTCCCCTTTGTTGTCTGCCAGTCAGTCAGTCATTCAGTACCTTTTGTGTTTCTGCATATTAAGTACGTGTAATAAATTTTACAAGCCGTAGGCAGTGAAAGTTGTTTACACAATAACAACAACAATCAACACTCTTTTGGATATGTTGAAGGCAACAAATTCTAGTGACAGTGTAATCAAGAACTACTGGTACTAGAAGCAAAATCATGATTGTTTGTAACGTTTATCTGTGGTTGACTTAATTTATGTGGCAAAAACTGGTTCGACAACAAAATCCCCTTAATTATTTAGATTGTGTCAAAGGGGAGATTGGTCCCTGGCCTGGACAGGTCAGTGTGACACTGGAAGTGTGGAACAGGAAGGTCTAGAACAGTTTGGCCCACGTTGGGGATGGTTCTGGACCTGGGCAACATAGCAAAATCTAGTCCTCTTGTGAACCTACCACAGTTAGATCTGAAACACACACTTTTATAAAATTCCTTGAAAAAAAAAAAAAATAGTGTCGCTGCATGGCACGGTTAACTAAAACCTGTCATGTAGTAACTAGTATGTTCGTTTGACTTGGAGAATCCACTGAGCACCAGCCCAAATTGCATTTTGCAGTCAAGATTGTGGCCGCACTGTCCTGAACTAGGGACTGAAACATCCTAATCGGCTGTGGACTGAACTGTCCAGGCAACAAAATGTCCTACATTATATTTTTTGAATGTGTCCAGGTCTAAGCTAAAGATGTATTTAACACACAAGTTGAAGTACACTACTACAAAACAACAAGTCAGTCACATGACCTTACGGACCAACTGGAGAACACTGGAAAATGGCCAGAAGACCAAATTGAGCACTAATGTATTTCATTAGTAACAAAGGCTCAAACAAACAAACTCCTGTCGTCAGGCATAAGATGACCAACTGCTGACTTAGGGGATTGGTCACTTGAAGTCAGAGGATGGCTGTAGTCAAAATACTTTTACGCTACCATTTTTTGTTGGAACAAAGTTTTCAGCTCTGTTCCTATGGCGTAATTGCTGTAACAAACAGTTGTATATTTTACTCAAAACTGACTCATGCCCCTATCAGAGTGCATGGAAAGCAGACAACTTCCCATAAATTACACAGGTCACATTCTTTAAGGTAATTGTTACCTACAACCCCACCCGATTAGTTTATGGCTGTCCCTTTAGTTGTGCTGTGTGAAGAAATGCCTATGAAGAAATGACGTATTTCCGGTTTCCTGACCGATCCTAGCAAGAAAACAACAAACCTAGCCTTTTTTTGATCCACTGCTCAGGCTGTAAAAAGTATAAAATTTCGATCTGACATCTGAATTTCATCTGAACAACTGAAGTTTGGAAACCAATTTCTTTCTTCATTAAATCGGGTGAAATACTCTATTTGTCAGACACGACCCATATGGCATATATACAAGCACTCTTACACATTTGTATATTGTTTTTTGCACCTTGTGTGTGTCAAAATTTATTTTGACTTTTAATCATGTAAACTTTATCTTTTTGATATATTTTATCTACTCTGACGCTTACCTCTTTACCCTTTTATGTCATGACCTCAATGTTTTGAGCTTCTCATGAATAAAGAATGGTTCAAACAAATAAACCCTCTCTGTTGCAGTGAGGAAGTTTACAAAAGAACACGAGTGGATAACTATGGATGGAACCACTGGTACTATTGGTATCACCAACCATGCTCAGGTGAGTATTACATGTAGTACAATGTGCATTTTTTTTTAGAAAAGTAGAAAAGTAACATAATTTTTTGAGATTGCACTGCAGGAAATGTGGGATTTATCCATGAATGATCTTAGGCCATAGAAAGTAAATTTTATGGATGACATCCTACGCAGACTCCAAATCTAATTTGATTAGAGAAAAAAAGAAAAAAAATGAAAAGGTTGAACAATTCATTTTGAACATTTTTACCCTTCACAGGACAAGCTAGGCGAACTTGTCTTTGTGGAGCTTCCAGAAGTTGGAGCAGAATTAAGCAAAGGAGGTGAGTAGAAAGATAAAGTAGTCAACTTTAGACAGAAAGCCCGAGTCAAGCTAACATGTCTTTTGTGCCATTTGACATAGATAGCTGAAGTTTCCTTGTTCCTATAAAAATGACCTTATAAAATGATCTGCACTGTATGATCATATTGTTTACGATCAAAAGTTAATATCAGACCAATAAATAAAATAAGTATCAGGCTGTGTCATGTGTGTCCAGCTCTTACTCGAGCTTGAAAAACAAAAAGATATTTGTGCTATGAAAGAAAAGAGTGTGATACAACATGTATATGGACATTGCAGAAAACCTGCGCTTGTTACTGCAAACTCGGCCCTCATGAAGATGACAGACAGTCATCGAAATGTCAAATCGTGTTAAACAAATGGTTATGAAGAAAAGAACTTAGCTACTCTACCGGCGCACCCGGCGTTCACGGCAGGATGTCTCGTTATCGTTTCAGGCCAGTGGATATTGATACGCAGCGTTACCACATTCCCAAAGTGCCGCTTGTTACCGACCCTGCGGGGCGGTGTGGCTCTCGAAGTCTTCTGTCCCATTCAGGACGCCACTTTTACGTTCCGCCCCGAACTGGGACCATCACAGGGATGCGCCTTTTGGCCCCTCTGTGGTAAAGAACAGACATTTCTTCTCCACTCCCTCTATCATACGTGACGTGATTATTGTACGTTCTGAAGAGGGCAGTCACATTTCTAGGGGGCCTATAGCTGATCTTGCCCCCATCTCCAGTTTTTCTGTTCCTTCAGTATTGAGGGATTTGAGAGGCAGTTGCTAATGAAAAGTCCCCCATTTTTCATGATAAGTGGGGTTTTGCGATTTTAGTATAAACTTGACAGAAAAATGTTTTCAAATTTAATTTTGGTCATGTACATGTTCTTTGATACTTTGAAAAAAAAGCTTGGTACTCCTTCGTAGTCGAAGATGACTGAAAAAAAAGCTTTATTGAATAAGGAGACTCTTTTTTACACAACCAAGTGTTTTATTCAGCCAACGTTTCAGTGACTGCCTGTCACCTTCCTCAGGGCAATTCTGACTGGTTCAGATTGTACATCACAAAGTATTACATATTGACACAGTTACAGAATTGCTCTGAGGAATGTGACAGACTGTCACCGAAGCGTCAGTCTCTTTATTCAGTGACAGTCTTTATTGTAATTGTGATTTAACAGTAGGTGGAATATGCCAAACAGTTCTAAGAAACTGCCCTTTGTTTCTTGGCCACAAGCCTGGGCTATGCACCTATCCTATTCCTATTCTTAGCTGGAGTGTAAATCAAGAATGAGATGTTTCAAAGTGTTCGAAAATCCATTGTTGGGTAGATTATCTTGATATAGGCAAACACAAGGAGGTTAAATACAAGTGTTTTTAACCTCCTTGGCAAACAGTGTCGTCAACAGAATTAAAACAGAATTAAAAACCAACAAACCATCACCTCAGAATTTAAAAAAAAAGCTCTTGGGATAGACTGGTCCTGAGAGCCATATAATTATAGAAACCATCTTTTTTTTTCTTCTAAATGTTTAATGTCTGATCATGCATGTATCAGTTTTAATTCTTTCTAATCTCACAGCACACTATGTTTTCAACTGCGTGTTTCACATCATAATTTGGTGCAGTAGTTTGGGTCAAGGTATCAACTTGGGAACACAGCACAGTCACAGAATTGCTTGCCGCTTGCAATCAAAGGCAAATGAAAAGTGGCCACAATTGCTGTGTGACAAGTTAGCAGTGTCTAGCAACGGTAGAACATCCATGCTTTTATTTTCGTGCAATTTCTCCACTCTTCCTTACTTTCTCGAAGTGGTGGATAGATTGGTGGACAGGTTGATAGTTGTAGAGTTTAAACTTTGTTCCAACACAAGAAAGGAACTCACCATCAATTTTCGGTTAATCCTGAGGCTGTCAACCATTGTCAGATATGTGATCCACTCGCTGACAGACTCGGAAGTCAGAAGTGTGATGACGTCAGGTGTGTCAGTGAGAGGATCACAAAAAGGTTCACGAGATCGACTGAAAATATATGTTGAGTTTCTTTCTTGTGTTGGAACATAGTTTAAACTTTACAAGTGTGGATTCTCCCAGTACAAATAAGCTTTCATTTGAATGCTGGACAGGTTTGTCTGAAGTGGTCCTTTTTTCCGTTCTTCTTGCCTTGCAGACGAGTGTGGTGCGGTGGAGAGTGTGAAAGCAGCGAGTGAACTGTACGCCCCAGTCAGCGGGGAGTGTGTAGAAGTGAACATGGCCTTGGAGGGGGATCCCAGCCTCGTCAATTCCTCCCCTTATGATGAAGGTAAGACACAATAAGCAATATAACAACCGTAAGAAAAAACAATGTGACAACAACAAAGCTCAAAATACTTTTTTATATACATTGTAGAAGACAAATTTTACCTGCAAAAAATCCACTTACACCTACAATAAAGTGAAGACAAATTTTTGATAGTCTAATAGGAAACAAACTTTTATGTGCATAAATAACATGTGCATGTCAATTAATAGTGCACGGTTATAAATCTGTTGATCTTGAGATCTCACAAGTGCCACTGACGAAAGGTAGTGGATGCTACCTGAAATGTCTGACCGTTTCCAAAATCATATCCAGTAGCTTGAGTAACTGTTTTTTAACATATCTTATTACCTGAATGTCTAACCTTATCGACAAAACAAACTAACAATGATGTTTCACTGTTCCAGGCTGGATACTAAAGATGAAGCTGTCCAACCCAGAAGAGTTGGACGACATGATGGATGAAGAAGCGTACAAGGCTTACGTGAAGGCGGAGGACCAGGATGCGTAGACCCCCAGCTCTACGCCTCTGGTCTACACAGCTAGTCTTCTGATATTAGACCTATCTAGGGGGAGGGTGTGGTGTATTAAATAGTCGGGCAGCTACAGGGGGTCCCAGAAAAAATTCTACCCAACTTTGTAGGGTTATTGTTGCCCCCTGGTGAAGTGCATCAAAAAGTAAGTTTTCTGTAAAATACAACTAATATTGTTTCCATTGATACCCTCACGACATGATTACAGTTCTTTATCACAGAGCGCTGTTGGTTTTAAGCTACATTGTGTAACACAAGGACAATAAGTAATAAGTAAATTTTCTGTGTTACATAATTCACCTTCAAACAATGGTACATGTGAATGAAGATAGAGGGGTGTTATGATGGTATCTATCGAAACTATATCAATTCTACTTTTTTGAAAAACTTCTATCATAGATGCACTTCCCAATTAAGTAACAATAACTTTATAGTTGGGTGTCCTTTTTTTTCTGGGCCGCCCTGTATAGTCACATATTTTGGCTGCTTTCAAAGCTTGTCACTCTAAGCAAACACAGGTACCATGGAAACGTCAATGTTTTTTTTTCTTTTTCAAAAATATTCAGATGTTTGAAAAGCTAGATTTGTATTGTCCTGAATATACTTGCTGTCCAAAGGAATGTTGAAGATTTACTTCCCAATTTTGTCTTGTAGGGGAAAGTTTACTGGTGATGAAAATTAGCGTCTAGATGAGGGGGGTTCAAACTCTTGTTTCATCCACACTTGGTCCTTATGCCACACCAATTTAATTTCTTGGTTAACGGATTTTTCTACAAAAATAATGGAGCGGGCGGGCGAAAAAAAAATAGAAATAAACACAGGCCTAGACATCCTATTATGGCCCAAAATTGTACGATAGGAGCCATGAAGTCAACACACCAGGCTGGTTCAAAATTTTGACAATGAATTTTGAACTTTTAATGATACCACTGCATTGAAAGATGGAATGACTTTAACAAGCCATGAAGTCAACACACCAGGCTGGTTCAAAATTTTGACAATGAATTTTGAACTTTTAATGATACCACTGCATTGAAAGATGGAATGACTTTAACAAGAAGTATGAAAAGGACTGTTTTCAACTGTTCACGGCAAAATATGAGCATTTTGCAGTTGATTCTGAATTTTTATTTTTATTTGCAAATCAGAAAAAAATGAAGCGGCGAATCCGTTAACCAAGAAATTAAATTGGTGTGGCGTTATGAAGGAAATGTATTTTTAGCCCAGAATTGTAAAACAAACATTTTGAATAATAGACACAGGCTTGGGTGGCAAAAAAGAGCACTAATGTTGTCTAGAAAGTTCATCTGTGTTGGTAGAAGTCATTATGATATGAAGCAAGTTTAATCTGTGATTTCTAGCACAAGAAATTGGACTTGCCCAAATTTCCGACTGTACAAATTTTTGACTGTACAACTAGTTTTTGTCAGTGAATGAGCAGTCTGCCGCTTCTGTTAGGTCATGTGGGTTGTTCGTTCCTTGACAAAGACAGGAGTTGTACAGTCAAAAATTTCTTGTATTGGAAATTACAGTTTAAACTTGCTTCATAATAACTTCATGCTTTGAGTGAAGAGAGCATTTTGCCACCTTCTTGTTTATTGTATGCCTTTTGTGTATACCCCACCAACACACTTGTATTTGAAGGGGTAGAAAGTCTTAAAGACTGCCAAGTAGTTATACTTTTGAGAGCCCTTTGATGTCATATCTGCTACAGTTTGCTAAATTCAAAATGTATTTTGCCACTTTTTGCTAAATTCAAAGTGCATTTTGTCACTTTTGTCTGAATTGTTACATGCTTTATGCAGCTATAACCTTCTGCAAAATGTATGGAAAATCAAGTTGGTGAAGGAAAATTCCAGCTTATTTGCACCTTGTTTCTTTGGCTACTGCTTATCTAGAGCAATCTCTGGGTACCTCAAATTTAAGAGCCATCTGTTGATTGTCAATGGTACTGCAGGAACTAAAGCAAAAACATAAAAGACTTACATGTACCAGAAAGTTGATCAGGAAAAGTTATCAGGGTATTGTCTTACCCAGAAGAATGGATGAAAAATTTATTTCCCTGCCCCTTTTGGGATCATTAAGTAAAATAAAAAACACACCAGATGTGTTGTTATATTGTACCTTTGCACAAGGTCACTTGGATATAAATGCTTATAGATTAAAGCCTGGTGGAAGAAATTGATAGCATTAGCTCGCAGATATATGTTACTATGGGTGTGTGGGAATATAGAAATACGATTTAACAGCGAGTGACTTCTCAGCATTTGCTTTGAACAAACATGGTCCAAATACAAACTAAATGATGCTTGTCATGATGTTCCTGTTACTAGAAAAAAGTGTATTTCAGGTGTTACAATCAATTGGAACATGTAGCAATATGAATACAGTATCTTGCAGTTGTAAACCTCAGTCACATTGTCAGTTGGCACGTAATGTCACCCCACAGTGAACTTTCCTGGTGAAGTACAATTTTTGTAAACACCACCTACTGTACATGTTGTGAACTGCACTAGCAGATAGAGGAACCACCAAAGCTACATTTTTCAAGGCTTAAGATCTTCCATCCAGGAAAAAAAGCCACTCTTGTCTTGAAAAGTTTCGCAGCAGTGCAGGAGAAACTGTGATGTAAAAGTCTGAATCGTAGACTGTTCGTCCATATTTCACATCATCGGTGTGTACTGAGTGCAAGACAAGCCAATTCATGGATGCAACTTTATGTAATAAATTGAAATTATTGGTTCTAATGGGGAAACTATTGTCTGTCCTGTGTTTTTGTGGTCTTTTAGGAAAAAGTATGCCTTTCAGTTAGACTAAGCGTTTTTTTACATAAGGCCACACCAAGTAAATTTTATGGATGACGTCCTTTGGAGACCCTAAATCTAATGCGAGAGGGCGAAAAAAAACAAAAAGGGCCCTAAAAAACAAGATGCCTAGATTAGAAATGAACTAAGAGACGATAAATGTTAGGACACAAATTGAATGAGGTGACACAGTGTAACAAGCAAGAAGTCTTTTCTTCATCATCAAAACAGCAATAAATCAGGTGGAACAGCAATCTGACGATTTGTGGCACTGTCGCGACTCTTTGGTCATTGTTACAGGAAGTGGAATTTCTTGTGTGTTTTTTCTAGGAACAGGCCAAAATCAATGCGCGCGCGGACGTCATCCATAAATTTACTTGGTGTGGCCTAAACTTTTTTCATGTTTCTTAGTTAATACTATTTACTCATTAAACAAGCAAAAAACGTTAGACAAATTTCAGAACTAGACCATTTTATTTCCTCCAAGAATTTGTAAACTACACAAAACTACAAACTTTTCCTAGAAAACTAGTTGATTAGGAACTTTGGGGACAAAAACCGGTTCGACAGCAACAGCCCCTTAATTAAATGTATTTAGATTTTGTCAAAGTGGAGATTCTTCTTCTTTGAGTAGGGCGACCACCTTCGACCTGTCAAAGATTTTGTCTCCGTGACGGGTTTACTGCGGTGGAGAGGTGGAGATTACTGGGCTTGTATTTTGGACTTAAAGCCCTCTAGATTGTTGAAAAATGGCAGTGTCCGCAGGTAAGTTATTCCATTCTTTGATGGTGCGTGGGAAGAAGGATTTCTCTCTGTAAAGGGTTCTGCACCTACATGTAGGCAGCTGGTATGCCGCAGAGTGGGTGAGGCGCGTCGGTTTTGAGCTGCTGAGGGTGTAGGTTTCGAACTGCAGTTAATAATCAGCGAGCCATTGTGGTACTCAGTGTAGGTCATTTTGGTCCCAAGCCTGGACAGGTCAGTGTGCGCGGAAACGTAATCTCTGTTACTATGGCGTAATAGCTGTAAGTAAGAAACAGTTGTATATTTTGCTCCAAACTGACTCGTGCCCCTATCAGAGTGCATGGACAGCAGACAACTGCTTTTAAATTACATCAAGGAGAGTAATTGTTACCTACAATCCATCCCGATTAGTTTATGCAGTCCCTTTGTGCTGTATTTGCATAAGCCTATGATTAGTATGAAGAAATGTTGTGTTTCCAGTTTCCCGACCGATCCTAGCAAAAAGCAAACAAACCTAGCCTTTTTTCCACCACATGTCACTGTCAGGCTGTAAAAAGTATAAATTTTCGATCTGACATAAGACTTTCAAAACCTCTGAAGTCTGGAAAATTATTTAACACATTTTCGAAAGCAATGTCTTTCTTCAGTAAATCGGTTGAAATATTTCTCAGACACGACTCATATGGCAAAAATACAAGCTCTCATTCTTACACATTTGTAATTGTTTTTTTTTGTAACTTGTATGTGTAAAAAATTATTTAGACTTTTAATGATGTAAAGTTTATCCATCTAGTTAAAACTTTTCTGTTATTCTTTTCTAAAAAGGTTATTTTCCTCCAATAACGCAACAATCTGTCGCTTAATTCATTCCGATGCCTTCTACAGGAATTCATTCTTTCGGAAGACCTACCATTTGTTATGCTTTTAGGTTTCTTCCTGTTTTACTTGTATGTCTGTAGTGTTTTTGTATTATTTTAATGATGTATTGTACATGTTATATGGGTTTTTTACCTGAAATAAAGAATGAATGAAAACCAAGCTCCTTGTTTTATCTTTTCGATATATTTTGTCTACTCTGACCCTTTACCTCTTCCCTTATGTCATGACTTCAATGATTTGAGCTTGTCATGAATAAAGAATGGTTCAAACAAACCTTCTCTGTTGCAGTGAGGAAGTTTACAAAGGAACACGAATGGATAACTGTGGATGGAACCACTGGTACTATTGGTATCACCTACCATGCTCAGGTGAGTACTACATGTGATATTAGTAGTACAAATGGTACAAATGTGCATTTTGTTTTTTTAAACGGATAAGTACATGTAACATAATTCTTGAAAATTGCAATGCAGGAAATGTGGGATTTATCCATAAATGCTTTCAGGCCATAGCAAGTAAATTTTATGGATGGCATCCTCCACAGACTCCAAATCTAATTTGATAGTAGGAAAAAAAGCAGAAAAAAATGAAAAGGTTGAACAATTCATTTTGAACATTTCACCCTTCACAGGACAAGCTAGGCGAAATGGTCTTTGTGGAGCTTCCAGAGGTCGGAGAGGAATTAAGCAAAGGAGGTGAGTATAAAGATAAAGCACTGCACTGTACAGTTTAAACTTTGTTCCAACACAAGAAAGGAACTCAGCATGAATTTTCAGCGGTCGATCTCGTCAACCTTTGTCAGATGCATGATCCATCCACTGACACTCCTGACATCATCACGCTTCCGGATGTCAGGAGAGTCAGCAAGTGCATCATTCAAATGCAGGACAGGTTTTTTTGGTCTTCTTGCCTTGCAGACGCGTGTGGTTGCGTGGAGAGTGTGAAAGAGGTGCGCGACCTGTACGCCCCTGTCAGCGGAGAGTGTGTAGAGGTGAACCTGGCCTTGCAGGAGGAACCTACCCTCGTCAATTCCTCCCCTTATGATGACGGTAAGAAAAAAACATACAACAATGTTGAACAAATCATTGAAGTATGGTCTAAAATAACAGACTCTTCATTTTCATTTCTTCACGCTTTCTTCTTTTGTATTTGAAATTGATTTTGGCATTCTACAAAATTAGTATTTGGTCAATTTGCAGCTGCTTTGTATGATTTATATAGTATGGTCGAAAATTTATTTTTCGAAACTGGTGAAAATTCATGCATGCGCGGATGCCATCCATATAATAAAATCAACATGGCCTTCTTTGAAACAAGCAAACTATCATTGCTGTTATACGTTAGAGTTTAGAACTCTTGTTCCAACACAATAAAATTATTCTCAAATTATTCAAGTAACTCAGTGAGACTTGTCACATGGCTTCTCTGAAGTGTGATGTCAACCCCGGGTCAAAGGTATCATAGGCTGGTAAACGGTGTCAGCCCCTGCCACGGCCAATGAAGGGAGAGGGGTCCTGATGTAAACAGCCTCTTTTACCCCTCTCAGGAAGTAGTCTTGTTCAGTGTCCAATATTCTTATAGTGTCCAATGAAAAAGAATGTCCAGGTGACTGTGTAGATTTGTTGTGAAACTTCTGAAACTAACATTGAATGATGTTTCACCGTTCCAGGCTGGATTATAAAGATGAAACTGTCCAACCCAGAAGAGTTGGACGACATGATGGATGAAGAAGCGTACCAGGCTTACCTGAAGGCGAATTCGATGGACGCGTAGACACCTAGCTCTACGCCTCGCTCTGGTCTACGCAGCTAGTCTTCTGATATTATGCCTGTCTACCTGGGGGGGGGTGTAGACCCCCGTTAAACTACACCTCCGGCCGGGCCGGTACATCTCAGGCCGGGCCGGTACATATCTCCGGCCGGGCCGCACATCTCCGACGGTCTCACAGCACTATAGCGATATTAGTCAGAACTGCAACATGTACTTAGAAGCGTACAGTGCTTGCCGCTCGTATGTTTCAGTGCATTTTTCGGCCTTTTATTCCCCAAATAAACGGTTTGTGATCTGTTATCGACATTTATTGCCGTTTCTTAGCACATTTTCGAAGTGTGCAAGGTGGTGACCCCTGCCTTGGTCCCCAAATACGTCCACAAACCGAGCGTTGAAGGCACGAGTCGAGCGACAAAGGCGCGAGCAATGGTGGAGCAAACAGTCGGACAGCTACAGGGGGTCCCAGAAAAGTCTACCCAACTTTGTAGGGTTATTGTTTTTGGTATTAGGGTATTGGCACATGTGAACGAAAATAGATGACTGTAGTGTACGTACATGTTATGATGGTATCAATCGAAAGTATATTCTACTTTATGGACAAACTAATACTAGTATCATGGATGCACTGATGGTCGCGTTGCACAAGGACACTTGGGCATAAACTTTCTTTAATTCTTTATTTCATACAATTATGTACCATGTAATTATGTATTAGGTATAATGTTATCAGGTGAGGTGAATTATATATGTGACATTATATTGAGCCGAAAATCATCGATATTACGATGTTAACACCAGGTTCATTGTTCACTGATTAGAAAAAAAATGCTTATAGATTAAAGCCTGGTGGAGGAAATCAATAGCATTAGCTCTCGGACATATGTTATGATGGGTATGTGGGAATATAGAAATGTGATTTAATGGTGAGTGACATCTCAGCATTTGCTTGGAACAAACATGGTCCAAATACAAACTAAATAATGCTTGTCATTGTGTTCCTGTCTGTGTATCAGTTGTCTCCCATGCTTTTGTGCCCTTTTAGAAAAAAAACTTCTTTTACAGAAACCTTTTTTTCATGTTTCTTTTCTTAATACTAGTCACACACAAAATAACAATAACATTAGACAAATTTCAGAACTAGACCATTTTATTTATTTCAGGAATTTGTAGTAAACTACACAAAACTGCAAACTTTTCCAAGAAAACTAGTTGACTAGGAACTTTCGAGAACTTTGCATAAACTTTTGCAAACATACCATTAAGTGTTCAGAGAACGTGCTTCAACTAAACAATACTGGTGAAATTCATCAAACCTTATTGTGATCACTAACGTTATCAGCTAGCATATGTTATAACATTTCTTCCCTTGGCTTCAGTAATACGTACATGTGGTTATAAAGAAAGCTTCAGGACAGAACGGCCGCACATATACTTGTGCAAAACGACAAACTTTTCTACAAAAACAGTAATATTAGGAACTCTGGAACTTTGAACAAACTTTCTCAAACGTACAATGAGGTGATCAAAGAACTTTCGAGCTGTCAAATCTGACTGCAACAGATAAGAGAGGGCGAATACCCCTCCAGAGCTATGATTCAAGAAGGACGAAACGTCCAGTAAAATGTTTTCTGGAGACCCTGTGGACTTCTAATATTGGTGCTGAGAAGCTCTCAGCAAATGGCAGAGGAGCAATCAAACGGGTGAAAATAGCCCACACTTTATTTCCCATAGTAAGTAGATAATCTTCCTGGCAATATGTACAATGGAAGTGCTTTATTATCATCAGTGAGTTTCATAGCAGAACGCCCCATATGTCTTCCAACCTCCTTTCGACTCACGAGTGTGGACTTTGCCAGAATTGCAGTCGACTAGAGTTTTTGTGGGTGAGAATCACGGTCCGGCCTCCAGCACCTGTGGAGCTTCCTCTATGGCGATCCTCGAGATCTCCTCTAGATATCGCGTCTTCACGAACACGGACCGCTTGTCTTCTTGCTCCACCAGAACCATCAGCGTCTTCTCGATTTCTCTCAGTTCCTCCAGACTTTTCCCAACTCTGTCGGGAAGATCGTAAGACACGGTCTCGGGCACTTTCTCGGCCAGACCCCTGATGTAGTCCATGACGTAGGGAGCCACGCTGGCCAGCTTTGTCCGGAGAGAGTCTGTGTACGAGAGGATCTCCAAAACATACGATTTCTTAGCCAACAGGTCATCCCACAGTGTGTCGATACTCGACATGACAACGTCGCGGTAACTTGGCTCGCCCGCGGCCGACACGTCGTCTTCATCAGGTTGACGAGGAGTGGAGTCATCTGTTGGACGCCCATTTCGCGACTCGTTGGACAGTGACGCGTCGTTCTTGTTGTCTTGTGGTTTCCTCTTCTTCATCACGTTTTGAAGCAGCTGACGGCAGCGTGTTGAGAAGCTCGGACGCTCGCCATTTCCCTTCGAGGCGGTCGCGTCTGTTGTACGATTCGATGCTTCGAAAGAACCCGATTCTGCTGACGACCGTTTCGTGCTGTTGTTACGGCCGGATGCTTCCCGCTCAATCGCGTTGAACACCTCAATCAGAGCGGCCTCGCGCTTCTTGTAGTCATCTGTGGACTCTTGAGCTTTCTCTGGTGCAGCGGACGTTTTGATATCGTCCGGTCTCGATGACTCGGTTTGGTCTGCAAGAAATGATTTGTGAACGTTTTAGTATACAAGGTCTGCCCATCAACCATACGAACGCAAGTAAAAGTTTGTTTCTGGCGTCATATTTTGTAGTAGAAACCATTTGAGACTTTCTTTATTGTTCTCCAATGACAATGATTTCAGGTACATAGACCCCCAACAATCACTTAGATCTCAGAGAGGGGGCTAGGTAGCCTGGCTGCGAGAGAGAGTGTGAACACAGGCTAGACATTCGTATACTAGTACCAAGAAATACAAAGAGAAATAGATAACGTCACTACATGTAGTTTATTTCTCACCGTGCTTTGTGGGTTCATTGTCGAGAGTCACAGACACCTGAAGAAATGGTTTCTCCTGGAATCCTGTGTTTTCTCCACCTCCACTCCGTACCATCTCTTCGCTGGCAGGTGTCCGTTAGTCCAGAGTGCCTGGGGAACGTCGACACGAACAGTTCCCAGCGTCTTCTCCCTGCACCGCCGAACTTTCTTTATTTTCAGAAGAACGACGTCGTCGTTTTCCGGCAGGCTAGCTGGAGAGAATTCCGCCGTCTCGTCCCAGACGTGGTTCCCTGATTTCTTGGTCCGGGTTCTCCACTTTTCCTCGCCGTGTTTCATGCTGACGAACACTTTTCCGTGACTGGGGACGTGTTTCGCGGAATGGACGGTCACGTTTAGCTTCGGTTTGCCGTCTCCCTTCCCTCCTACTCTCACCAGAGACAAAGTTTCCAGTACGGTGAATACGGCCGAAAACGTGCGATCAACTAACGTTCCCATCCTTACATAAACAGTTCGTAATGATGATTTTACGCAGCAAAGTTAGTTTCGGTACGACCGTTTACGAAGTGTTGCTGGTCGCAATACAAATCTAGCCGCGCATAAATGCTGTTCTAGAACTAAGCAACAAGACAATACAAGGGCGTTCTACCCAAACAAAGTTTTGCTTTTGACCTTGAATTACGTCATAGGGTAGAAACGACAATCTCTCTCTCTCTCTCTTTCTCATCTTTGTTTCAAATTCAATCCTGATTTCAATTCTGATTTATTCTTTTATGTTCTACATTAGTTCTACGTTATATCAAGGTTACACTATTGTTTCACTTATTTTGTTAGCGTGATTTTATGTATCATGTAGGTTGTTTGAGTTAGTTTGGTTTGGTACCAATTAGTTATTTGCTGAACGTTATTTGTTACTCTAGATTTACGTTTTCACACTTCTCATCATTAGCCCTCAAGATATCACTATGCCTAAGAGCTATCAACTTGATATGTAAAAAAAAAACAGTCCAGTAAACCGGGTTCACAGTTCCAGAACCTTTATTTGCCACACCTTGCGTATGCAGTAAAGCAAGACAGAATTTCCGAAAATAGTTTAATAAGGTTGGTAGAATATGATACCGTTCTTTTAAAAGCCAAATTATGGTATAGTATCTCTCCTCTTCTTACATTTCTATGTCTATCAGACAGCTTCCTACACAGGAAGGTGACCGGAGTGCTGCTTCTCGGTACCACCTGCATCACCTACATCTAGCGGTGAGAAGCAGTACTGCAGTCACAAGCTGTGTGATAGACATGGAAATGTAAGCAGACACTACTGGTTGTGTAAGAATAGCCCCAATATCCTAGGTCTAAGATAGAATTTGATATCAAAATCTATTAAGACAAGTCATTTATCTCAATATAATATCATGAAAAGACGCTATTACAGAAGATTCTTCTTAAGTATAATATCGTATTTTCCATTTAAATCTAGTCAGCTCACTAATTGGAAAATATAAACTTTCTAAAAGATTATCATTAATCAATATCGAACATTATTTATTGCTAATGGAACATCACTAGGCAAGCAAATTGCTAGGGGTTGTGGGGTCGTGTGGCGCAGCGGCAGCGTTCTCGACTCGGAACCAGAGGCCCCGGGTTCGAGTCCTGACATGTCACCGATCTTGTGCCCTTGGGAAAGGCACTTAACACGACTTTCCTCACTTCGCTCAGGTGTAAATGAGTATTGTACTGTCCCTGTGTTGGTGTCGGCATTAATATAAGTTGAATAAAACTTGAGTGTGTCGTCACCACGTCTTGTGATTACATGTTTCGGAATAAAAATAAAAAAAATTGCTAGGAGATTATAGCTCATCGATCCTGCGTGTACGCGTCTTCTTCCTGACGAATTTCACGCAGGGATGGCCGCTGGGACGCTAAGGAATAAAGAAGTTGCAATTATGTCAATGGAAAAATGCGAGCTGTTTTCGACTACCATACTCTTTCCTAAATGCTGAGTGCAGAGCAGAGAAAACAGTATGTACCATTTTTAAAGTCTTCTGTATGACTCGGCGAGGATCGAACTCACGACCAACCACTCTACCACCTGACCATTCTACAGGGTTAAACATTACATGGTATTTATATTCTCCTCACCATCACTCATCATGGTCGCCCTCCTTATTCTTCAGTTCTTCCTCCAGCTCCTCCAACTCCTCCTCCAGTTCCTCCTCCAGCTTCTCCTCGGCATCTTCCTCCGCCTCATCCTCCTTCTTCTCCCACCACTCAGCTGCAGGGTCCTGGGGAACAGCCACGCTGCCTACATGTGACAGATGAAGAGACATGTTGTGGTAAATGCAATTAGAAACGCAGCAGGAAAAAAATAAAGAAAAATATACCAAAACTAGAAACTGGCCATTAGCCACCGATGGTTAATGGACACTCCTTTGGCCATTGGATACTGCCTTGCCACCGTATGATCTGCTTGGAGATTAAGAAAGGCCGGCATCCAGAGAAATTGCAGCAAATTACTTCACCACATTCCCCGTCCCAAAAATGGACCTGTCCCCCTCCCACACACACAGCCTTGCCCAATACCTAATAATAATTACATACTACGTGGTGTTGGTGAGGCCATAATGCTATGAACAGATAGAGTTCCACGTACCATCCAGGCTAGCAATCCTCTCCAGCAGGTCCATGGCTGCCTCCCTCTCCGCTTCCTGCACAACTTCCTTCAGCACAGCAGCAGCATCTTGGAGAACTTCTTTCTTCTGATTCTCGCTGCGCTTTTCTGAAAAAAAAAAACAAACTCGTGTGGTAGCCGACCCCGTACTTAGTACATACTTTGGTCAGTACCATAGAATGATACCTCGATGTCCCCTGATCATTTTGTGATAGTCGTATTATGGTCCAGGTGGGGTATTATTGTTCTTATTCATTATTGTAAGCAAACGTGCCATTAATGAAGAATAAAGAAGCATAACTTGTGTAATACATATCCAAATGACGCCAACTTTGGTGAAAGTCGTAAGCTGGCTGTTTGATTGCTTGATACTAACAAAACT